ACATATTGCAATGGGAAAGTCTGCTGTTAGGGACCTCTCTAAAGTACTCAAGAGCAACAGTGTCTCTCTGGAGACTAAGGTGTGCCTGATACAGGCCATGTTTTTTGCAATCACTTGTTATGCCTCAGAGAGTTGGACAATGACTAGGGAGGATAGAAGGAGAATTGACGCCTTTGAGCTGTGGTGCTGCAGAAGAGTATTGAATGTACCGTGGACTGCCAAAAAAACAAGCAGATTCATCCTAGAGAGGGTTAAACCAGGCTACTCCTTGGAGGCAAGGATTCTGGGGCTTCGTCTGACTTACTTTGGACATGTTGTAAGGAAAGACAAGTCCTTGGAGAGGGACCTCATGCTTGGGAGTGTGGAGGAACAGTGCAGGAGGGGAAGACCCTCTATGAAGTGGATTGATTCAGTGACTGGGGTACTCGGGATGGGTGTCAGAGGCAATACGATTGGCACAGGATAGAACAGGGTTTAGGGTTGTTGTACATAGGGTCGCTATGAGTTGCAAGCGACTCGACAACACATAACAACAACAACAAAGGTGTTTTGGCCATCCATCTCTAATCTATGTTTGAGAATTTGCTCCCTTTTTTATGCTTATACTGATTTTGGTAACCTAACTCTTCAAAATTTGATGTCTCCTTCTAAGGATCAAAACATTCCTCCACCACTGTCATCATCAATAAGCATTTTGAAGCATTTTGGCTTGTCTAGAGGATTTTTAAAAACAGCAAAAATATGTAAGGCAATAATTTGTCATTTCAGCAGTACATGTGCAATTCAAAGACACTATGTCCATTAAACAAAGCCACATTACCACAGACTAGCCAACTATCCTTTTCAAAATCCTTCCATTATCATTAACAGAAACTCTGGGAAGCATGACTCCTACATCCCCCTCTTTCTGTCTTCTGATCTCTCAGTGGGATCACTTAATATTTTCTTTTGTGACTAGTATTTCACTCAATATTAGGTTTTCAAGATTTATCCATGTTGTGGGATGTTTCAGGACTACATTTCTCTTCATGACTGAGTAACATTCCATTATCTATTTATCTATTGATAGATCAAAAAGTTATTTTCATTTTTTGGCTTTATGAACACTGCTGCAGTGTGTAATGGTGTACAGGTATCTTCTTTCAATTCTTTTGGGTAGACTTAAAATTGGGAGTGCTGGGTCATGAGATAGATCTCTGTTTAACTCTTCCAGGAATTGTCAAATTGTTTTCCGTAGCAACTATGTCATTTCGCATGATGTGTCAAATGCTAGAATGGTTACCCATGGTGGACAGTGTTTGGTGGAGCTCCCCAATTAAAACAAGCTTGGAAGCAGGAGTGGCATCCACTTCCATAATAGCTTGCCTCTGTAAATCCTATGAACCTGGAGAAAGGACAGAAGTTATACAGGTGTCCAGGTCTTTCGTTCATAGGGTC